AATGTATACTTTTTAAAAACAAAACTGGTCCGAGCCGGGCACGCTTTGGATTTGGATGCCAGTCAAGAAAAGAACACTGAGATTTTGTATGCTTGTGAAAGATAGAGCAAGCTATTGAAGGTTTTACATTCCATTTAGAGATGCCTTGTTTGTTTTGTTTTTGTCAGTCCTGGGGCTAGAATTCAGTGCCCTGGAGCTGTCCCTGAGCTCTTTTGCTCAATGCTAGTACTCTATCATTTTGAGCCTCAGCTCCACTCTTCTATTTTTGAGTGGTCAAATGGAGATAAGAGTCTCACGGAGCTGGGCGCTGGTGGCTTACGCCTGTAATCCTAGCTACTCAGGAGGCTGAGATCTGAGGATCTCAATTCAAAACTAGCCTAGGCAGGAAAGACCTTGAGACTCCTATCTCCAATAAATCACTAGAAAACTGGAAGTGGCGCTGTGCCTCAAGTGGTAGAGTGCTTGCCTTGAGCTGAAGAGCTGAGGAGCAGCACCCAAGCCCAGAGTTCAAGCCCCATGACTGACAAAAAAAAATAGTCTCAAGGGGATTTTTCTGCCTGGGCTAGCTTCCAACTGTGTTCCTCAGATCTCAGCCTCCAGAATAGAATAGGAGCTAGAATTATAGGCCACTGGCACCTGGCAATACCTTTTTTACCTGTGAAGGGTTTTAAAGTAGGATGGTGGGCGCCAGTGGGAATTGATTTTTAGATATGTGGAGATGGATTTTTAGATAAGGACACCAGATGAGAAGATTTGAGATGTTTTCAGAATTCCAGAACTACTGAAGTAGAACAAAGAGCACTTGGGTATGATTATGAATGGAGAGCAGAGGAAGAAAGGAAGACATTTGTCAGTTTTCTGGCTTGGGAAACAGATGGAAGGTAGTAGGAAGATAAACAAATTTAGAAGGGAAAAATAAGTTCATTTTTGTACATGCTGGGTTGGATGGGTCTGTAGAAAATATAAATACACAGCCTAAAAAAATGGGTCTTATTTGTGTAAACACTGAGAATGGGAGACTGAATGAAATTAGATTATAATCACCTGGCCAATATTAGAAAATTATTCTAGCCAGGTGGCTCATGCCTGTAATCCTAGCTACTCAAGAGGCTGAGATCTGAGGGTCATAGTTTAAAGCCAGCGTGGGTACAGAAGAGTCCATGAGACTTATCTCCAATTAGTTACCAAAAAACTGGAAGTGGAGCTGCGATTCAAGTGGGAGAGTATTAGCCTTGAACAAAAGTAGCTGAAGGATAGTGCCCAGGCCCTGAGTTCAAGCCTCAGGATTGGCGCACATGCACGCGCGCACACACACACACACACACACACACACACAATTCTTTCTTTCTTTCTCTCTCTCTCTCTCCTACCTTATATGCTAAGATTCTGATTTCACTAGAGCAAGACCTAGTATAATTACATATGCAATAACTGCACTATTTGGTGCAATATGTATAAGAAGGAACTGACTTGTGCAAAATTATAGACAAGTAAGTGACCAGGATTAAAATGTACTCTTTATCATCTATCTATACATACCTGTGACAAGTCTGCTACAACTTCATTACCACGCACGACCTTTGTGGTTTGAAACCCCGTTTATTAGCTCACAGTGTGAGAATCCTACACGGTGTGGCAGGGTTCTCTCTGCTCAGGGTATCTAAGAGTCACCCAGGATGATTGCTCACCTGGAGCCACTGGTATCCTTCACTTTCTTGCAATTGTAGGACTGAGGACTGGTTTTGATGGTGGCTGTGGGCTAAAGTAGCCACTCTCAATCAACTCCTAGAAGCTCTTGTTATGTGGTTGCAATTTTCAAGCCAGTGAGTCTACATCACATCCTTATATTTTTGAATCTTTGAATCCTTTGTGCTACCAGTTGGAGAAAACCTGTTTTAGCCAGATTTTTGCTCACTGGGACATATTCCTGAGAGACACAGCTTAGTTTGGCTTCCATCCATGCTTGGCTGGCTCCGTTGCTTTGGGCTGGAGGTGAGGCAAAGCTGCTCACAAAGAAGAGAGGAGTCACAGGAAGGAGCCATTCAAAGGCTCGCCCCCTGGGACCCATTTCTTCCAGTTAGACCTCACCTCCCAGTCTCACAGCCTTTCCACCTACCTATCCACCATTACAACCACTGTTTGAGTCAGAGCCCTCATGATCCAATCAACTCTAGAAATCCCTTCACAGAAACACCAGGAGTGTGTGTTTTAAGTGTCATCTGTCTGTCTTCACTACCACAACTCCCCAGCTTTAACCAGGCACCTGAACTAGGTCAGGCCCACCTAGATTAATTACATATCATAGAAACAGCCATGCTATATTATATAACCTAGTGAAACCCATCATATTAACCAGGGATTAGGCAGTGTCCACTGGATGGGCTGGGAGGGTGTCCTGTTGGGGAGGGGAGCAGTTTAGGATTTTTTCCTACTACCTGGGAAAAGAAAAAAAAAAAGTGAAATCTGAGCTAAACAAGTGAGTTTAGGCCCAGCAGCCCTGTACTGCTCACCTCAGATACACTCTTTCCTTAACCTCTCAAGAAGTACAATTTGGAATGATTCTCCACTTTACATCCATTGTTTTATAGTTCTGAACCAATATGTTCTGAATAGATTCTTTGCAAGTTATGTCTATGTTCTCTCCCTATGTATGAATTGAGTGAATGCTGAATTATTCTGTCTTATGGAATTGTTAAGACTTTTTTTTTTTACTTGAACAAATGTGTAGTTATGCAATGAGAGGCAGAGGTGGAATAGAATCAGCCTGCTAAGGGTATTATGAAACCACAGGTGGCTTCTTAGAGTTTGAAAGAGGCCTTTGTATATCAGGCAGGCCTCCTTCTCAACTGTACACCGTTAAAAACGAAAAAGAAAAGAGACAACTAAGGTATATTTGTAATATTACGCTTAGCAAATGGATGCTTTAGTAAAGATGGTATATTCACGTAGACAAAGGGGATAATATCAAAAGTCTACATGTGAAGACTTGACAAATAAAAGAACGAAAAGAAATAACCAATCCCAGGGGTTGGAGGCATGGCTCAGTTGGTAGAACACCAGCCAAGGAATGAGAAAGCATCAGGTACCCATCTCAGATTCACAACAACAGAACACAATGGCAGAAGACTTGACGAATGGTCTTCCTGTGCTGATTTTTCTTCGGTGGAACTGGGGTGCCATCCACTGAAGCTCTACCACTCCAGCCACATGCCCATTTTGTTTTTTGTTTTTTTTCTCTTTTCAGGGCTGCAGATCAAACTCAGGCAGACTGTGTCGGGAAACTGAGTCACGAGGGCATCAGAATCAAGAAAGCGGCCGACGTGCTTTATTCTGGAGTGCAGCTTGGGAAGGGCGACCCAGGGCCACCCAGTGTCCTTCAGCGGGGCTGAGGTTCCCCACGCCCCAGAGGGAAGGCTGGGAAGGGTGGGTTGGCAGTGGGGACGCGGTGGCCGAGGGGTTTCAAGGTCTCAGGCCGCCTCTGTGTTCCTGGGGGGCGGCCCTGGCCTCGGCCTCAGGCTCCCCTCCAAGCCTGCCCGGTGCATTGGTTCAAAAAGGGTGTGTGCGCTTTTAAACGGAACTTTCGGTGTGCGTGTGAACCGCACCAGGGAGGCGTCTGCGGCACTTGGACCTTATGGACCTCTCCATTTCCCACTCGTTTTAAACGAGTCTGACTACAGACATGTATACAGCGCATCCGATCCAGTTTCCGCACGAGGACACCACGGAGTCACCACGGAAGCGTCATCATGAAAAGCAGACGCGGGCTGCAGAGCAATTACAGCGGGGGCTGGAGGGGGGGGTCCCGCAGCTGCCGTCCGTCCGTCCGTCCGTCCGCAGGGCCGCGCCCCGTCGCATCTCCCCAGCGGGTCGGGTCGGCCCAGGGGCCCCGCGGGCCACAATTATATGGGACAGGGGGGAAGGCAGGGCGGCCGGGCTCGCCGAAATAGCTCAGTTGGGAGAGCGTTAGACTGAAGATCTAAAGGTCCCTGGTTCGATCCCGGGTTTCGGCAGTGGCTTTTGTCAGCTTGCTGGTGAAACGCGCTCCTGAGAAGACGCGGGGCCGGTGATGGTAATGGCCCCCACGTTTTGCCCGGGCGAGCTCCGTTCTCCTCGGGCCAGAGGCGGGCGGCGGCTTCCCCGCGGCACCTGCGGTTTGGTCGCCCTGGATCCGCAGCCTGCGGGGCCCGGAGC